GGGAACACCACACCAGCAGTTCCCAACCCAGGGGGCTCCTTGGGGGTCCTTGGGGGTCCAGCCCCGTGTGTGGACCAGCTCCAGCATCACGAGGACCAGGGGAAGGTGGGCACAGCCTCCCTTTGGCCACAGACCCGAGGCCCCTCTTCTGTGAGGCCTGGATTAGTTTTGAATGTTGTGTTGAGGACCTGGARGGGGTACAAGTGTGGTGGAAAACCTTGCTGGGCGGTTTAACCCCGATTGCAGGAGCAGACACGGGGCTGCCGGCGCCAGCAGCTCCTCAGTGAGGTCACCCCGCTGCRGCTGACCCTGTTTGTGTGGAGCCAAAACAGGCTGGAGAGGGATGTSACCACTGAGGATGTCACCAGATTAATGACCCTTTTAGCCCCAGGATGATTTCTTCCCAGCTGAAGCCCCTCCCTGGTTGCCTCTTCCTGCGCTGCAGTCATAACCCGGATCTGCCAGTTCCATCTTCTTCCCTCTCTGGCCTTTAATGGATGCTGGCTCTGCACCACTCTCTGCTAATTAGAAAACTCATCATAGAGACCAGATAAACAGAGCTGCTCCCAGAGTCCGCCTGCCTCTGCTGAACAGGGCCGGGGGACACAATGTCCCACCAGGAAAACACAGCCACGGCCCTGCCAGCTGCTGGGACACACGAGGGTGTCTCCTCTCCCATTTCCCATGGCCAGACATCCCCAGTAGATYGTCATCATCATCCCACAGATGTCCTCACTGGGAACAGGCTAAGGGTGGAGGGGTTTTTCCCAGTACAGATTGCTGGTTTGAGGATCACACAGCTTAAAGATTATTTTTTCCTGTGGTTTCACTGTAGGATTCCCAAAGATCACYCTCAGGCTGCTGCTCAACCCCCTCTTCATCCTCCTGGTGCTGGCTCAGTGCTGCTTCTCCTCYGTCATCGCGGGCCTGGCCACCTTCCTCAACAAATTCCTGGAGAAGCAGTACGGTGCCTCCCCATCCTACGCCAACTTCCTCATAGGTGAGCACGGATGGAGGCAAAAAATCCATCAGCAGGGAGCCAATTGCCCGTATTCCCCAGGCTCCTTAAACCCTGGAGAGGAAGCCACTGGAAGTTCATTTTTGGATGAGACCTGGAGTTCATCTTTGGGTGGTTGGTGGCTTTCCTGACCTGAGGTTCCCCAGCTGCCTCGAGTTTGGGATCTGTGGGTTCTCYCAGCTCCTGTGAGGTGCAGAGAGCTTCCCCCTGCCCAGGGAATGGTTCTGGGCGGGGCAGGACTGCCCTGATGGCTCTGTTGCTCCACAGGAGCTGTGAACCTGCCGGCGGCGGCGCTGGGGATGCTCCTGGGAGGGATCATCATGAAGCGCTTCTCCTTCTCCCTGCGCGCCATCCCGCGCTTTGCTGTCGTGGTGCTCGTCTGCTCCATCCTCGCCTGCCTGCCCATCTTCTTCATGGGCTGCTCCACGGGGCACATCGAGGGCATCTACAACCCCAGGTAACRCAGCTCCTCATTTCTCCAGCTCTTGTTCTGTGGGGAGGGATACGGGCTGGTGGAGAGGCAGAAGATATCACCTTTTCTGCTGCTTGCTCCTTAATCCCACTGCCCACAGGAGATCCAGGTGCTTCACAGCGCAGAGAGCTTGGTAGGGTGCTTGTCCATGGTTTTCTGTGTCAGGGTGTAGTTTTTCACWCTGGATTTTTGGGGGGAAAATTAGGCATATTGTGTCCACATCACAGTCTCCCAGCGTTCCAGCTGGACATCATCTTTCTCCTCACCTCGGTGGATTTTCGTCTCTTGCCTTCCAATTTTAATATTAAAATGACATTAGGAAAATTACATTAAGGCTTGATGTCAAGTGCATTGAGCTCTTTTCTCAGTGCCAGCAAGGAAGAGATTTCTGATGCCCCATTCTCACAGGGATGGAGCTGCTCAATCCTACAGGGATGGAGCTGTCCATTCCCACAGGGATGGTTTCCAATCCCACAGGGATGGAGCTGCCCAATCCTACAGGGATGGAGCTGCCCAATCCCCCAGGAATGGAGCTGCCCAATCCCACCCGATGCCCAAGGGCATCTCCCCGGTGCCACATTCCTGCAGGACTCTGTGTGACTCCAGCAGATGCTCTCCTTGAGGGAGGGAGGGAGGGAAGACAGGACAGGTCACCAGGTTTGTCCTCTCCATTTCCACAGTCATCAGGCTGGACTGGGAACGTGCCCACTTTCAGTTTGTGTCTGTGTGCTTTCCCAGCTGTTCACACATCTGTTGGGGCAGCTCTGGATGGAGCCCAGATCCATTTCTCCAGGCTTTTGGCTGATTA